AGTAAAAGGGGGCCTTATTAATAATAACACCAGGGCAACAGGAGTAAACCAGGACTGTCCCAAGCAAACCAGATGCAGGATCACCCGAAGGCATCGTGTTAACTAATCATTTACCAAAAGAGGAAGAAACAGGTTTCACAGCATTTAGTTAGTACTCACTGAGTGGCAGCCACTGTGCTAATAAGCATTTCGTGGATTATCCCATTTAGACCTGGCAAAACCTGAAACCTTATTAGGTAAATACTATTTGCTTCTCAGGCACCGCTGTAGGACCCTGGGCTCCCGGGAATCCTGTGACTAGCCTTTGGCTAGACGCTGATACGCCCTGAGCCATCTAGTCCTCGCAGTCTTGTGAGGTTTGTCATTCATGCCGCTTTATAAGGGAGGAAAACCCAGCTGGGAAGGACCCAGTACTTTGTTCAGAGTGCTGCGGCTGTTAGGTTCAAAAGCAAGGATTCAGACTTGACTTCAAGCCCACTTCTTCCCACTACGTCATCTGCCTCCGCTGTAGGTGACCTCCAGACTGGCCAATATTTAGAAACATATTTGAGTCTTTCCACCCAGGCTTGCTGGACCTGAGCTGTAAGACAGAGTAGTTCTCTGCCCCGTGTGCTGTTAGTTCTCCAAGACCCTTAGAGGACTCATTCCAGAACCTTCCAACCAGTCCTCTTTGACCAGATAGCACCAAAGAGTAACTATAACAATAAATATAGCTAACAATGTTGTATCTGCAGGTGCTTGGCTATGGGCTAAACATTTTAAATGGATCGCCCTAATTATTTCTCCCAGCAGTGTTACGGGGTAGACACTATTATTTTATTACCTCATTATTCTGCAGATGAGAAAACTGAGCACAACAAAAATTTTGTAGTAAGGGTAAAGCAGCTGGTCAGTAGTGGAGACAGGAATTGTTTTGACAACGGTGTTGGTGTCTTTTTACCTCTTAACACATGTCGGCCCCTAACTGGTAATGAACCTGGCACCCTGGCGTTCCAAGTCTGTTCAAACTGACAGTGACTCTCATAGCTAACTGAGTTCCTTTGCCCTGTTTTTACATGACCTTACTCTTTTTTGATCATCTAATTCCTACTTGGCCGGAGGTATTGTGGCTTAATGCGTTACATCCCTTGGGAAAAGATTTGTATCCAAAGAGGATTCTCCAAGGCGAGATCATGCTTTAAAACAATACACTAGGTAGCAGTGGTGATGTCTGCATGCTGCCTAACTGATGACAGCCTTACTCCACTGAAGCGTCAACATGATCGCCCTGGAAATCCTTAAAATCTTAACCTTGGTTGAGTTTAAGCTATGATCTGTTGGAGGTCAAGGATTATTTAGTGCCTGCTCTTTACAAGGGAGTTGAAGGATGCCGTTTAAAGTAATAAAAAGAGTGTCCCTACGTCTTACCTTCGAAGACCAGCTTGCATTAGGAACATGACGTCAGTGATACAGATCCAGACCTCCGCAGGTCCGTGGAGCCCTGTCTGACCTGAAAGGTACCAGCAGTCCAAGTCAGAGCTCTCCTGAAGGCTGAAGTAGCACAGGGCTCTCTTGAGGGTTCCATTATTAATCTAACATTGTTCATTTATTCTATAAATGTATTTTGTACATAGGCACTGTATTAGCTTCTTGAGTATTTTTTACTACGACCAGCCTGTAGAAAGACTGTATGTGTCCTGTAACAGAGTAAAATCTGCAGGGTAATCCTGGAATTTAATTTCTTAGAAAAATTAACAGAGAATTCGACATACCAATATATGCAATTGGACATTTATTAAATATTCTGAAAGATGATTGTAATGAGTTCCTGAATTTGAGCCAGCCTCCAGTGAATGCATTCTGGAATGCTCTTTGCCTTCTTTTAGCCTGAAGTTTCTTTGTTTTCATATAACGTGAGAACAGCATAGCCTGGGTAACCTACTTGACAGTTATTTACTTGGGACTATTAAGTGCTTTTCACTTTTGCAAATATGAGAAGACTGTGATATCACGCCTGCTCTCAAAGGGCCTACCACCTAGTTAGAAATAGTTTTGGAATTGGCTTGGACGGTACGTCACATGATATCAAAGCACTTACAGTAAAGACCCGTCTTAGCCCTGTCTTTTTTCTGTTCCTTTATAAATGACAGATGAAAAGACACAAGGCATGCTTGTTGGATATCTGGAGGACACACACTGGGGAGTGAGAAATAGAAGGCTAATATGCTGCATGATAGAAATCATGATGTCAGAAATAATGATGAGATCAACAGGTTGAAGTAAGAACAAACGGAAAACTCTGTATTTAGTTTGAAAAACTCAATACCAAAAGCACAGGATGGGAGGGAACTGTAATTTTCACATTCCAAAAAACTCCCGCAGACGTCTTCATTAGCACAAACCTTCACTCCATAGCCTAAAATACTTGCTGAGCACCAGGCACGAGGTAGAGTACTGTGGGATCTTTCCCCCCAGTGCACCTGCAGATGCAAACTCGTTGGCCTATTTCATGCAGCTCAAGGGAGAAATATTCCCACTGACCAGATCTCATCGGTTGTAGACACAACACTCTAAGAAGGTCGTGTTTGATAAAACAGCCTGTGGAAGGCGGGAGACTAGATTGCTGAGTGACAGGGAAACCAGGCTGTATAGAAATATCGAGTGGCCACAGGATGTTTAGTCTAGAGAAGAAAAGATTATGGCGCTTTGATGATTGTTTTCCAGCTTTTAGAGAGCTATCGTGTGCCTACAGGAGGAACCTTAAGCCTTTTTGGGGTTCTTTCAGTTTGACCAATAGGGTGAAAGATAGAGAGGGTCAGATGCATTCGATGTCTTCAAAAGCTTTGGCAAAGGCTCCCACTGAAGGTACCTCGCCCATGAACATTCCAGACGAAACTAGCTGACCATCTGCCACGTAGACTGCTCCCTCCTGGAAAGGCAACATTTTGTTGGCAGCTGGAATGATCTCTGAGGATCCCTCTGACGCCAGTTCCTTCCTTTTCATTTTTCAGAACAAGTGGGAAGTAGCATAACTTTTCATATACCGTCCTTAAGCCTTGAGATCCACAAGAACTTTGCTAGCCTACAACGAACGCCTTCATTTCCCCATCTTCCCCACCTTCGCCAGCAGAAACAATTATTGACTTAGTTAACAGAATGTCATAGTTCATATTCTCCAAGCATTAAAATACACTGCTGACCCATGTGGGGTAAAATGGTAATTAAACCTTAGACCGAGCCTTCATTCATCCACCAGATGGACATAGAAATGTTTGTGCTCACTGGAAAATACAAGAAGAGGAAAATTTTGCCTCCAAGAGAGGTCAGTGATCCAGAGCCCATGAGATGGAGCACATATAAGGCTCCGCAGATGGTCAGCTCAAGGAGCGGGACTGGTGAGCTGTGTGGATGCCAGAGGAAGGGAGGAACCTCTCAGCTCCCTGGAACTGCCTTAGCATTAATGGGGCTGTGTTTCCCAAGCTTCACAGTCAAAGCCAGCACCTTCCGGACACCTGTTGTTTTCAGGTGTGCCCAGATGTCATCATCCAGCGAAGAAGAGGAAACGTTAACACGTCCTCAGCTGGCCGTTCCTCTAGTCGACTTACGATCCAGGAACACTTATGTGCAGTTCTAGGGAAAAGGACCAATGAAGTGTTTCTGTCAATAAGTTGCAGTCACCCAAAACCGTGTATTTACCTCTTTATTTCTTGCCAGGTGCATCATTTTGGCATCATGTCAATCTGCCGAGTGTAATTTAGAAGGATGAAGTGCTACAAACTTAACATCGCTGTTTAGAAGGGTGAACTCTTACTGCTTTAATATCTTGCAAGCTTGTATCTACGGAGATTAACAAGTAAACATAGATGCAAGCCCAGTTTTAGTTATTACCATGACTTAGCAATCACATTACAGTGAGGCCCTATATCTCAGTGTTTGAAGCTGAAGTGCTCAAATGGCCTAAAAATAATTGTTGTGAATGGTAGCAACAGCCACTAGGAAGAATTCGTTAAAACATAAGTTCAACATTGGTTGTAAGATTGCAGAGTTATGGAAACTTTCCAAGACTTCAAATAGTTACTAACAGCGATGCAGTTATTCAGTGAGCGGTAACATTTATCCTAGCTTTGCAAAGTAGAAGAACAAAAGGTGAAACAGCTATTTTATATATAAAAGTATAACGAGTATTTATTATTATTATTATTATTATTATTATTATTATTATTATTTCTCATGAAGTTGGCCACCTTCTACTAATCCACAACAAGAGGTACCCTGAATAACTAGTGACGATAATTATAATTACAAAGGAGAAAGGGCAAGAACCAGTTCCCTTTTTCCCAAGTAATTTAAGGGCCCACCTGCTATTGTGTTTAGATCCCCAGCACGCCGCACCCAAAGGCTAACGTTGGTTCCACAAAACATACTCAAATAGATCACACGAAGGTAGTTCTTTTTACTTGCAGAAAAAGCAACATTTCGCAGTTGAGTTTTTTTGGTAGATCCGCTTCAACGTTAACGCAAGTGCGTAAATCAGGATGATGTAAGATGAATGATAAGGCATCAGAGAAGTGATACTAACACTCCAGACACGTGAATTTATTTAACCCTTACAACAGTCCTACAAAATAGGTGCTCCCACTTTAACAGACGAGGAAACTGAAGCACAAGGGATTTTAGTCACCCACTAAGAACTGGCATCCCAGGGATCTGAACTTGGGCAGCCTGGCTAGTTCCAAAGTCCAAGACTTAACCATGAGGCTGTACTGCCTCCCCGGTCATGGTATGTTGGTAAAATTAATCAAATGCCTAGCATATGCCCGGCCTTGTGTTAATCCTTTTATTACGTTAGCCGATTGAGTTCACCTGTTGGGTCGTTTGGACGTAGGTAAGAGGAGTAACAAAAGAATCACCAGGTCAGCTGTTGTGCCTTTGGCAAAACACCTGCGCTTGGGCGAGGTCTCTGTGTTACTTAGGAATGCAGGACGCTAACAATAAGCTGTTGCATCATCTCTCCCTTGCAGGGGTGGAATGGTCCAAACCAGTGAGCAGTATGAATTTGTGCATCATGCCCTGTGCCTGTACGAAAGCAGACTTTCAGCAGAAACGGTCCAGTGATTCTCTGAAGACATACCAAACCGTCGATCTCTCGGGGTGATTAATTGATTACCCACCTGAGGCTTCTGGAGGGAGCTTCCTGCAATGGAAGGAAAGAGACGCCGGGACGTCAAGCTGGGGCATGGATTGTGGAAGGTGGCAACGCATTAAAGATTGCCAGCCTCTTGTGTATAGGAATGCATTTGTAAGCATCCCCTAAGTTGTTCTGAAGGTCCTGTGCTGATGGAGGTATGACACAGCGAAGGAGGATTTTGTTTTGTCTGTATTGACTATCTGCTTCACAGAATATATATATGAAATAGTGATATATGTCATCAGATGATGACGGGAAGAGCTGCTGAAGAAATTATTATTGTGTGTTTAGATGCTTTAATGTTTGCAAAATCTGTCTTGTGAATGGACTGTCAGCTGTTAAACTGTTCCTGTTTTAAGTGCTAATTCCTTTCTCAGTTACCAGAATCTTGCCGCTAAAGTTGCAAGTGATTGATAATGGATTTTTTTTAAAAATAAGTCCCTGTTTTTGGAAAAAAAAATCAAAAGCAGTAACTATTTTATATGGAAATGTGTCTTGAAAATATTACCTAGCAAATGTGTATTTATCAGTACCTCCTATCCATCAATTACAGAGCACAATGGTTGTCATTGGGTATAAATGTATTTACTCTACTATAGAGGTGATTTCTGCTCCAGGACTCTATCCACTGAATTTCTACATTGTGAATCACTTTACTTTCAAAGGGAAAAACAAATTTGTAGCAAATGATGTATTAAGAATTTTAAATACTCGTCTCTCTTTTACTAAGAAAGACTTTTTGAATATGCTGTCTACCTGGAATCTCTCTCCCAATAAAAGGCAGATGCCTTTGGGAAGGGTGTAACCTCTCCCATTTCCAGAGGTTCTTCAAAAGGATGCTGCCATGGATATCCTTAAATTCCTAAAGGATTTAATCCTCAAGAGACAAATAAAGTTAAAAAAAAAACTACACTCAGCAAACACTAGATGTTCTGCTCAGATACACATTTTTAATGCAGCCATGTTGACTTTGTTTCCTACTGCCAATAAACTACTCTTAATACTAAACATTGAGTAAGGCATGCATTTTTTTTTTTTTTTCTGTTTGGAGAGAGACCGTTATCTGTGGGGGAAAGCCTGAAGTCAACAGTGTGATGGGTTTAATTTTAGTCTGCCTCTCACCAGTGGAGATGACCATTTCAAAATGTAATATTGTCATCACTTGAGCGATAATGATCTGGAAGTGCCATCATTATGTGGTTTTCCTTGACAGACTCCTAGCATATCATTATGCAAACAGTCCATGTTTATGTCTTCAGATCGCTTGTCACAGACCCTCATAAATTACATGGTTTGCGTGTGTTCAGCAGAATCACATCACCTGAAGAGATGTAATATTGTAGGAACATTGAATTACCTAAGATTGCAATTCCTTTCTTCCCTCTTGAGCTGAAGAAGCGGTCATGTGCCAACGGGATGGTAGAAGAAAACCTACACGTTTTATTCTGCTCCTGGAGGCTGGAATTTTTCCTACATTAAAAAAAAGAGAGAGAGCGCGAGAGAGAGGTAATCATAATCCCTTCTTTCTAAGGAAACAGACAAAAGAACAACTGGTGTAAAACTTCCCCCAGACAATTCAATAGGAGGAAGTGCTCGTCACTTGACTTTTCCCCCCACCGTGAAGGCACATTTCCTTCCTAGTCTTGGCTTCTCTTATCTGGGAGAATTTTTTTCCCCCCAAGCGAAGCATGAACAGTCGTTAAGTGGAAAATGGAGGCTGAATTGTACATGGCGGTTCTTACCTGCTTCATCCTCGGGAACTCAGGTGAGTGGGTCTGCCTCAGTTTCCTGAGGCATTTCTCCAATAGCCCTGTCGTCCAAGAAATGCCTGGAAGAAGGCGGGAATGGAGCCAGGTCTCCATGGCAGTTCAGCCAGAGACGAGGTGGGGGGGGGGTACTCTCAGGAGCCAGCCATGCCCACACCGTTGAGATTTCTCTCCAAAAGGAAAATAAATGGCCTCCTCCTGTCCTCCAAATGCCTCCAGCCACCCCTGAAATGGCATCTTTACAGCAGAGCGTGAAGCACCCTGAGGGGGAGCAAAAGCAATTACAGTGGCGTGTGGTTATATAACAGCCTGTGGCACCTTTAAGCTTTTTGCCTGTTGGGATCTAGTTTTGTTTTCTTTTGTGTTACAGAAAGCAACTACTAGGAGTATAATCAAAGGGGGCTGAGGAGCTGTGGTGCGTTTTATTGGGAAGTTGTTTGAAAGTTCTGAATATTTTCACGGGAGAGCTGGGAAAACTCACAAAAGCACCTGGAAAGTGGTTTCCGAGCCTGAATATTGCACTTTGTAAGACTGATGTTTAACCACAGGGTGTTTAGTTTTCTTACATTGAGAAAAGGTGAAAATTTTTAAAAGGTACTCTATTAGTATCTGAGGTTGAAAAGCACAGCTCTTGTCACGAAATCAAGAAAGGCTTCTCTCCAGGACTATAAAAAATTGAGTTTGTGATAATCAGTACTTTCATTGGTTGCTGCTAGCTAGAAGGTCGTACTTAGGGGAATGGGAGATTTTATTTTATTTTTGGATAAGTATATCCAATTTTTTTAAAGGATGTATTCAAACTAGTCCACTTGTAAACAAACAATTCTAGCGATGGTAACTTAAGGGTTAGGAAAAGGGGTGTTTTTCTAGAGTGGGTGATGAAGGTGAGATGGAAGAAGTAAAATGGTTAAAAACCAGAACTGGACTTTTTATAACTTCAGCATATTTAACTATTTGGGCTAAAATATCACACTATATTCTTTGTATGGTTTTTTTTTTCTTTTCTAGGCTTCCTTTCGTTATTTCAGTGGGGGTATATTTTCTTTTCTAAGCCATGTGAAAGTAAAAAAATGGGGGGGCTAAGTGCGCCATCTTAATATTGTTACATTGTCACATTGGAATTGTAAATGGTGTGTGTTGAATCTGGGACTATTCACTTGAGATGAGAGCCATTGCAAAGGAGAAGTAAACCTCGTGTTTTGGCTTGGCGGATTTGTGGGTGGGTTGTTTTGTTTCCTGATGGGCCATATGATTTGTTACATGGTACCTAATGAGCTTCTCATCTTCCAGAGGGCTTTCAGATTGTCCATGTCCAGAAACAACAGTGCCTTTACACAAATAAGATAGTGGTCCTGGGCTTGTGCGATGGGACCAGCCAGAACCAGCAGTGGATGTGGACGGAGGATGGAAAGCTCCTTCATGTTAAATCTGCGCAGTGCCTGGCCATCTCCAATTCCTCTGGTGGCCCTTTCCAATCAGTCATCTTTGCCCACTGCTCTCAGGCACCTCGATGGACTTGCCATGAGAAGGAAGGGTTCCTGGAAGTGGAAAATGCCTCTCTCTTTCTCAAGAAACAAGGCTTCAAGGTAGTGGTCAAGAAGGGCAGGAAGTACCTCCACAGCTGGATGAAAATGGATGTCAACAAGGAGGGAAAACCAGTCAATGAAAGCCTCTGCTTGAAAAAAGGTGAGCTCTTCCTTTCAGAATCGATTCTGAAAGTTCTTCTGCTCAATGTCTTGTTTTTTTTACCACATTCAAAGGGAAGTCTACACGCCCCAACAAAATTCCTATAGAGGATTCATAAGCTAATGGAAATGGATTGTGTGATGCCCACCGACTCAGAAAACTTCATTATCCTCATTAAAATCAGTCAAACTTTTCTATCTCTCATTCCTCTTTCCCCCTTTTTCCTGCTTCTTTTGTGAATTCAACACATAGTTCTTGAGTTTCTCTTTTGTGCCAGACACTAAGCACTTTGGTGAAGTGCTGTTAGATGTAGGAATATACATAGCATGCATATGTAATGACGAAAGCAAATGATCAGGAAATTCATCATTTCGCTGATGTAGACACCTCTGTTCTCTGGCTATGAGGAACTATTAGAATACAAAATTGGTGCTTGATAAGACTGGGAAGACAATGAATTCTATTTTTGCAAATCTCTTGTGCTAAGTGCAGGGGTCAACATCTTTTGGAGGTAACATACTTTTGAAATGGTAAAAACCAGTGTGCAGCCACAGAGTTTTCTAATTTGTTGACCTTTGATGGATATAATGTAGATGCTGGACACATGTAAAGACCTGTATGTGCAAGCACAAATTCCTGGTGCAATGCATAGCTCAGACTTGCACTAGGAATCTTTATTCGTGGATATAGCTTAATATTCTATTTTACTTGATCATCGTATTATTTATTTACTCCTCTGTTAGAGGTTTGCTTTAGGAAATCATGAACGATAAAACCAACACCATTATTACCTCCTAGGTACAAACAGACCTTACAAATCACTGGAGCAATTATCTAGAAATGAAGTGCTTCATTAAGATTAAAATTTGCCAAGGTTCAGTGAACTATCCCAAATAACTAGGTGGCAGAGCTTTGGTTAGAAACCAGGTTTCTTGACTTCTGGTCCAGGGCACTTTCCAATATACAGTGTTTCCCAAATACGTAGCCACAGACTTTCGCCCAACTGGCAACATCAAAATCACCTGGGGGAGGAGCAGAGCGAATCACTGCCATCATTTTTCCCTCTACTGTTGTCTCCAAGATTTGATTCCAAGAAATTTAGATTTGGGCATAATTCTTGATGTCTTTAAAAAAAAAATCTCCCCAAATAATTTTGATCCGTACCCTCACTTAGGGATCAGCATCCACCGTATCTTTAATTTTTTTCTTGGATGTTGAGTTTTGAGCTTTATGTGAGTCTTTCCACCTCTCTGGTCTTTGGACAGTTGTCTGTCACTCATTCATTTTGTTAAAGAAAGAAGCATCTAATTAGATGCCAGTGAATGCAGTGGGCGCTTCTTCAATGAAGGTTGTTACAGTCTCTGTTCTTATAAAACCTCCAATACAAGAATAAGATAAAAATATAAGTCAATTGGAAAATTCAGCTTTATCTGAGAGTATACAGCATACAGCAACCGATTCATACAATCCTCTTCCAGTGGTTCATCTAGCTAGGCCTGTCCTAAACAACAAAGAAACGTTGTAGATATTACATACAAGAAATGAGTTTCCTCCCAACTCCCAATCAAACCTTATTTAGCAGAATATTTGAAAAGTGGAACTTTTACAAAGTACGTGTGGATTCAATAGATATGGATTATTCAAGATAAAAGATAATTCATGAAAAAACTATCTCCTTTGACCTCCATACAAAACATGTCTAATGATGGACTTCACTTTGAAAGTAAAGTAGATACAACAGACCATTTACAATTAACCACTAGAACAAGCCATATCCAAAACATGTCTGAAACAATGTGGGGCTGGGGGGGATGGACTTCTAGAAAAAGCAAGGTTAACATTTGTATGACTTTGGTACAAAAAAGTTTTTATATTTCAGTATGCACAGGCACAACACATACATTTGCTTTAATACAATTATAAGTTAACAGATGTATTTTTCTTCTCCATCCATACAGAGTGATATTGGTACATGAAAGCTCTCTGATTTTCTAGAGAATCAATTGTGAGAAATTAAATTGCATGCAGATATTTGCAATGAATCATTCCAAATGCCCTTTCAAGGAGGAGGGTATATAGCTCAGTGGAAGCTATAGCATGCATGAGGTCCTGGGTTCAAGCCCCAGTACCTCCATTAAATAAATAAATAAATAAACCTAATTACCACCCCCTCCTCAAAAAGATGGATGCCAAATGCCCTTTCTTAAAGAGTGGATAATTAAATACTTTTTAAATTGAGGTGTAGTCAGTTTACAACATTGCGTCAATGTCTGGTGTACAGCACAATGCTTCAGTCATACATGAATATACATATATTCATTTTCATATTCCTTTTCACCATAAGCTACTGCAAGATATTGAATATAGTTCCCTATGCTATACAGTATAAACTTGTTTATCTATTTTATATATATTAGTCAGTATCTGCAAATCTCAATCTTCCAGTCCAAACCTTCCCACCCCCTGCCCCCTTGGTAACCACAAGTTTGCTTTCTATGTCTGTGAGTCTGTTTCTGCCCTGTAAACGAGCTCATTTGTCTTTTTCTTTTGAGTCCA